AGAAGAGAAGAAAAGAGAACATAAGCTTTTTTCGACTAGCTTTATCACCTTAAGCACTTGTTCAAGTCCTTTGCCAAATTTTTCTCCCAGCTGATTATTACTAGCGTCCAATTCCTCCAGAGTTCTATTACCATGGTTACCAGTCAAAGCATCCAARATGGCGGACATGTCGTTAGCCCCACAGCTTGCGCATTTTAATGTTTTGAGCGACGTATTGACTTGCAAAGCTGGCCCAATGCAACGGGAAAAGTAGTCTTTGCCCAGATCGTTACCAGACACGTCCAGGAATTCAAGGCAGGTATTTGAAAACAACATGCTACCTAAAGCTTTCTGTGGATTCAAGAGAAATTGAACTCATTAGAAATGACTTATTGCCAACCGTCAATGACAGGCAAACACTGCCCGTCATGTGATGTCAGCCAGAGAATATTCTACTACTTGGTATCAATCAGATGAATGAAAATGATTAGCAGCCCACGATGACAGGCTAACAATGCCCGTCATGTGCTATCAAAGAGAGAGTATTCTATTTGGTATCAATCAGCTGAATGAATCTCATGAGCCTTATTACCAGCCTACAATGACAGGCAAACGCTGCTCGTCAGCTGAATACATCTTATGCATGAATCAGGTGCAATACTCACCGATGATTCTGTGTCAGACAAGTTATTTGCCATATTCAATGACTTGAGCGTGTTGTTGTGTGCCACACCCAAACATATCACTCTGAACCCCTGAGGTCCAAGGACATTATTTGAGACATCCAGTTCTTTAAGGTTCGTTAGACCTTGAACCAAATCCCTTACACCGTATTCACGCCATCGTAGCGAGCGGATAAGATTCAATGACATAATTCCTGAGGAGGCCTGGTCTCGAATATGTTGCCATGGTAATGCCTTGCAGGCAAATCGTAGAGCAGTTGCTAGTTTTCTTTGTGAATCATGATCAGTTTGGTCAGCAACTTGACCATCTTGAGTTGGTATTGACGGCGAATCTTCAGTCACGTAATTGTTGCCACTAGCAACCACATGGTTTGACGGTGGATCTTTATCCTTTCCGTGACCATCTGTATTTTCATTCACATGATCAACTGCCTGATTATCTGTACTTCCGGTCACATGATCAACTGCCTGATTATCTGTACTTCCGGTCACATGATCAACTGACTGATTATCTTTACTTCCGGTCACATGATCAACTGACTGATTATCTGTACTTCCGGTCACATGATCAACTACCGGATTATCTGTACTTCCGGTCACATGATCAACTGACTGATTATCTGTACTTCCGCTCACATGATCAAATGCCTGATTATCTGTAATTCCGGTCAAATGATCAACTGCCTGACTATCTGTACTTCCGGTCAAATGATCAACTGCCTGATTATCTGTACTTCCGGTCACATGATCAACTGCCTGATTGTCTGTACTTCCGGT